TTAATCGAATATCATAGAAACTCTTGAAGAATTGTTCTGTGTTCAATCCATTTGAATCGTGAACATAAAGTAAACGGCATGACAAACAAGAGTCACCCACGTGAAGTAACATAATAAAATCCAGGTAAAATTTCCTGCATTTTCAATGTCAATTTTATAAATTCATAAAAATTTGTTAAAGTATGTAATAATAGTTATATTTATCTATTTAAGAATGAGTAAGCCTATGTTCACATATACAAGAAACATCAGTTGAAGACGACAATCACAAAAAATATCAGCGTTTTCAACTTACATGGACTCTGATTTCAGTGACTGGGTTTCGTTTACCATCACCTTCATTTCGTTACCCGAACAATCACCATCGTTCACCGCCTCGACTTTCACGTCTTTAAAATCGGAACTGTCGTCGGCTAAAATTTTCCGGTACCACATTCAGAATAAAGGACAATAGATATGAATGCACCAAAAGGATTTGAGAATAATCTGCAAGACTCTTTACCGTGTTACTGGGAACAAAAAAAGTTTGGCAACGGTTTAATAAAAGCCGAGAAAGTTTATTTACTACAGATCTTCTAGAACCCTGACACAAAATTCTCACTGCCACGTGGAAAGAACAGTAGTGAATAAATCTTGTTTAATTTCCTGGGATTATGTATCGCTTCTAAACTTGTTATTTTTTCACAGACATTAAAAGTTGTTAAATAATAGTTCGAACGAGATGACAGTGTGTTTTGGAATCATACAGGTGGGTAAACAACATGATTTTAGACTTTAAACATTACTTGCAGATTTTATACGAGAAACTTTTGTATGGAATTAAACCTCGTCCGCCTTCAGAATTAAAGTTGTATTTTATATATACGTTTCTCACGAAATTATCGCAGGTAAACGTTTTAGGAATATCACCAGAATTCTTTATGCGGCCATAATGAGTTAGCTTCATTCACACAGTCTTTAAATTTATTTATGATGAAGCAATTTTGTAGCCACAGGAAATATATCATCGCAAATACACTGCTCAATCAAACGATCCATTGATTTACCAGGATTACTCCGTACAACTATACTTAAGGTTGACAGAAGCTTTCGATTACACTGGAACCTTCTTCATGAACGATAAAGCACTGTTTTTAAAATCATTTATATCTAATATTACAGCTTTCACTGCCGACATTTTTTCTTAACATATCACAGTTTTATACAGACATAAAACCGCTGATACCGGCATGGTAAAAAATTCTTCGGCAGTTAAAGCTTAATAACAACATCTGACAAACTCAGATCAACAGATATGCCACAGGTCAAATATCAAAAACTGACTCTGAATTTATAGACGTCATGTTAAACGTAATCAAAATATAACTACTGCTGGTTTGTGGCCGGCACATCAGAACAATTCGACGCCAGACCGGATGTGTACGATCGGAGCTGTGAAAGTTATGAGAATGGATTCAGATTGGTCCCAGGTCGAGGACGCCGTCAAAGCGGTACAATGTCTCCTCCGCCCTGCAGCGCGGTAGCAGACCATGGCTTGATTTGATTTACTGCACGTCGCAAATTCTCACCACGTCCCAGCGCTTCCTGTTACTATTTGATATTCTATATTGTCCTGGGCAATGTGAAATATAATTGCAAACAGTGCCAGGCTTCGCTGACAGTTTGTCGATAAAAGCGGTCTAACTACGTTGTAATCAATTCGTCTCTGAGCCTATCCAACAATGAAGTTATCGACCTAAATGTATAATGGCTTCGGTACAATATGAATCATGAAAGTGATCGGCCGTTTGTCGTAGCGCATGGCCGAAGAGCGAGTTTTAGTTTTCTGATTCGATCAGGGGAAAAGTTGATAATACTCTCAGTTCGATGTACTCAACTTGTGTTTGTCCCAATGTCCTCAAGCAGTTGAGCAATTGTGATCTTATCAGTTGGACGGTAGTCAAGTATTCTGCGCCAGCAAAAAAGCTAAGTCTAGTGCATTAGTTTTTTGGTAAGGGCCCACACTGGGCATATTTAACTACTGGTCGATTAACTGTCACATTAACATGGACTTTCAATGACAACAATCTTTCTCTGATTTTGCTGCAGCACGCTATACGCAATTCCAATCTTTCTGATTCGCTCCTAAATATCTGCTTCAACAGCTTCCATCACTGGTGATCATCGATGTAAGAAAGCAGAACCTTTAAACTTATTCCCCGTAAATTTTCTGGATGTTCTGCATCCTCTGGACATTCCGCGAAACAAGAATTTTATTTGATCTCAGCTTGCAATTGGCGATGGGTGTTTCAACTGCCGTCAATGCGTTCTGAACTTCTTCCAGCTTCGTTGAAATGACCGCGATGTAGTTAGCATGGTCTAAATAACGTAACCAGCGTCTTGATGGTTGGAGTTTCACTTCTCCGTTTTTCACCGCCTGCCATGACCGTTTCGATGCAGTAATTGCACTGCATCGATCGGGTAATTGTCTCTTGTCGCATTCCGCTCTCAATCAGAAAGCTGTTCAGAGTAGATGATTTTCAAGATGTTGACTACTTTCTGTGGCACACCTTCAACTTCTAACATCTGGCAGTGTTCCACAATCTGAATAATCTAAACCTGAACTCAAAGTCGAAGTCGATGGACAGCGGTTTGTGGTATCGACTGTACGTTTCCAGCAAAAGGCTCAATGTTAAGATGTAGTCAGTAGCCGATGGACTTGGTCTGAAGCCGCTTTGTTCTTCTCCGGTAGCATCCTCTTTGCAAGGCGAATTCTGCTGACGATTGTTCTTTCAATGACCTTAAGAACCTCATAGTGGAGATTAATTCCTCTGTAATTTTAGGCATCATAAACATCACCTTCACGTGTATCACAATAGTCACCGTTTAGCGTCACTCTCCCGGTACTGTTTGTACTCGCCAGATCTGTTGCAATTCACCGTTAGGCATGCTTAAACAGCTCTGCAGCTAAATTTCATCTGGGCCAACAGCTTTACCATTCTACCCACAATGAGAGCATTTATAACCTCGTCGAGGGATGATACATCAGAACTGCAGTCATAATCAGACGTCTTACTTCTCTGCAAGGAAAGCATTTAAGAACTGGCAAGGGACCTCGCCAGCTGCTGGAAACGTTCTCCAAATCGCTCAGCACATTTGGGTCCTCACTGCACGCATGACTGATCTTCCAAAAAACCGAAACATGAGCAGATATTATTTCGACCATCGTATTGCTGGATTAGCGCAAACGCTAATCTGTGGTTTATATGAACGCTAATTCAGTAACAGTAACTCGTTTTAACCACAAGGTACTCTTTCTTCAGCCAGATGGTGTCACAGTTCAGTTTCTTCCGTTTTCGCCAATGTCCTATTTCCTGCGATACTGGCGCTTGTCCATTCATTCAACAGCTTCTCAGCTGTAATTTCCATTCTCATTTATTCCCAGTAGCCAACAATATTCTGTGCAATCGCATTTAAAACCTCTGCGAGTACCGCCTCCCGCTGAAACAGAAGCGAAATTAAAGGTAACCGGCGAATTACCTCATAACCTTCGACTCATGCTGATTACGCTATCACAAGCGAACGAGGTAATCACAGCCTTCACATAACAACCAAAGCAGGACTCGAGCCTAACCCCAAGAAAATGTGATGATGAACACTAAAAAAGCAGTGGAAACGAAAGTGTTACAAAAACGGTACCATTCAAAATGTCCGGCACCTCATCCCCAATGACAATATAATTGCAATCAAGACATAAGCAGAATGATTGTAATTGCGTCATTAACCTTCAAAATTCTACCTAAATCTGCGACAGACAGGGAATGTCTGTCTCCACAAAGATCCATCTTAAACGAACTGCTGACAGATGTTCTTTACTGCATGGGCTGAAAACAGTGGCGCCAACATGAGGACAGAAGCCCCGATTGAACTGCATCCAACAGTACCGCTGATTAAGATATGAATCTTGAAGATCAAGTGGTACGTCAGCATTAGAGGCGACCACGTTTTTACGTTAGCTATCTCCGCTCAGATATATCTGAGCTGCTCACAGACAAAAGGATAACATAATACGATTATCTACAAAGCATATCATCATCAAAACTAAATAAAAACCTGCTATCGATGAGCAATACTTCTTTTGTCGACGCAGAGAACAAGTCCAAATATCAAAAAGCGAAATACTGAGCTAACAACGAAACCGGCTAACACCTCGACGATTGAGCAGCCTGTAATTCCGCTAAAGCAGCCAAGGATTATGGCGATAAAACAACTGCAATGAAATGAATTCATGGTACATAGGGGAGAACAGATATCCAACAAGCAGCACGCAAAAAATCCTGGCATTATCACATTAACCTGCTGCAAAGTACGCAACGACACAGCAAGCATGATGTTCCAACGCAAATGCAGTTTGCAATTAAGACATGAACAACGTAATTCGGTTCTTACATATCAAGACGGTTGCTTTAAGATGAAACTTGATTTTTTCCAATGCTGAAACATAGAGAGTTAAACAGAAATACGAATGAGAATGCAGAGCACGTACCATCTGGATCAGTCAAATTAATGTTGTGCTCCTCAGCAATTTTAACCAGTAATTGTGGTAGACGATCAGGGTCCGTAGGCGTCATCGCTTCAAGTTCGCAGTCCTTAACAGACATCGCATTTGCGTCTGCAACAAAAAAACCTATTAACTCCTCAGTAGCAATAGGCATTATGGAACAATTTTTTAAAAATCTCATGTGATACCTGATGATCAAACAAACCTTTTAAGCAGTTTCAAAAACTATGAGAAGCCAATTAAATGTCTACTTAAGCGCTTCCCGATTATTGGCGATGAACCAGAATCAGCTATGCGCGAGACGAAAACAAAGAAAGCTGTTACATGATCTTCTGAAATAACATGAAAATAAGCTCTAGTAAACGACATTATCAGCAAATGGGAGATTCTGAAATTTCATAGAAGGGAGGTACAGATGTACCATGATTCAAGTTCGGTCTGAAGCGTCGCAAAAAATTACACATTTTTTAGAGTACAAGAGTAGGTTTCTTACTGTGATTGAGATCAGAATAAGGATATGGACTACTGCTGAATGACAAATGTCATTTTCCCCTGAGATGGAAGATGACATCAAATACAAGTTCGGATGGCACTACCAGGCAGGATTTCATTGGTTTTGACCATTAAAACAGTAAAGGATATTACTTCCCTCAATTATTAATATCAACATTAGACATTATTTCACAAAAACTTCCGTTCCCTTGTTCATGAGTTGATATCGTGTGAACAAGGGTAGACGATATACAAAAAACATTTTTAAATCGGATTTAATAAAGGTGACAGCACTAATAGTCTGTAATACCTTTGACTGTGAATCGTACATTCTCCAGTGTTTGGCTATCACAATGACGATAATTTAAAGTGATGACGATGTCGCAGGAGATATCGTACCAATTTGTTTGTCAAAGGCACAAGGAAAACGGCCAAAGGGCATAAGTGAACCAGATGGCTCGATTATACAGAGGACCTTGTATATTCGTGCCTTGAAATCTAGACCACTAATCTCATTCATGTAGCAGAACATCGGAGGCACTGGAAAGCACTTTCGACGCAAATGCCCTAGTCACTTTGAAAGAATAGTAGACTTTGAGAATGAGCGAATGAATAGTGATGCGAATCCTTCCGCTCCTAATTACTGACGAAGATGGAACTTATTTATCAGAATAACGAAGTATGATACAGCTGATTAAGTCACATTTGAGTTAAAACATTTTTAGATCTCACTTTTACTGCGAACTGTGTTGCTTAGCTAACTTTCTGTATTTGTATCATGATATTGGCTTCAATAAAGACAACTACATCGAATCAATTTTGGATTTAAGTACTACTGCCTTGCTCCTAGGAGTCTATGGGTATACCCAGGAAACAATTATCCGTTATATCTTTTAACATAAATAATGATCATATACATGAAATCAAAGTAAAATTATTGTTAGCAAATCACAAACACAACGGAGTAAGGAAGGAAGAAATCAACAGATGGCAAATTATAGCAAAAAATTTACCGCTGCGTAATTGTCTAGCTTTATCATATCGCCATCAGCTATTCCTTTTATTTAAATAGTCAAATGACAATTTGCCTTTCATTAGTTTACAATTTTCTAATTTGGCTAAAAAAACACTTCCTGAAATGTTGAAACAAACATCGTAAAAAATCAGTTCGTTGTTGTCTCAACCACTTTTCTGTTGATCATATTCTTTGATTGACTTGATTTTAATATGACTGGCTTAATCTTCATTCACGCGCACTAAAGTTGACCTCTCTGCGCGCTAAGAAACTAGGACTCTGACGGCAAACAAAGGAGAACGTACAAGCGTTCCAAACGGCAATGACATCCTACTCAAATTTACGCATGCAAAGTCAGAACAATCGAAAACGACAATACTTCGCGCATTAATCGCGTTGTTGCGACCTCTAACAACTTATCCCATAAGATACTGTTCAATGAAGAAAACCAAGGTTTAAGAAATTCATTATCACAAACGTAACAGAGCGCATCAGAAAATGAGGGATAAGCAACTCATTCGTATGAAAAAAACGCCAACACTGGAAAACCTGATCTTCGAAGCTGATTCATTAGTGGTTCTGCCATTTAACCATCGTTATAAGCCGAAGCTAAGAAGCAGTTCAACCGTCTTCTTGTTAATTGGTTATGGGATTGAATATGCTTTTCTTTGCGTGTGGTTTGTTAATGCTGTTGCCGTCCGTACTTCATGACGACTTAGACCTGAAGTTGGACTTACAAGGAGCAACGAGGCCTGTATGTGCTCAAAACAAAACCCATGAAAAAATAACTAAACATTCCAGTTGCAACCAACATGCGAAACAGATTGTTGGTATTTTCTCACAGTACTACGATTGCCGTGAAAGACAGTCACTCGTGCTAATAAGCAACCAGCTATTTCTTAGGAAACGCCCGACAGAGATTATTCCATCCCTTTAAAACATAGTGATCCAAAAGGATACCGTAATTATAAACCTGGACCGAAGGACTGGATACCATCGTCCGTATTTACTTCCTAAAACAAAGCATGATGAAATGCCATTTCAACATGCCGTTTATGCTATGAAAAAAGGATGATGTTAGGAATGAACGAACCTGCAAACTTTGGAATTTTCAATTCTCCAGTTTTTCTGCTACGATGTTTCTTCTGTCTCCTGGATTCGCTATTCCTTTTCCTTTCGTCCACGACCGTAAAATCCGATCGACTGGCTGACATCACCTGTTTGTCAGTTTGAACAAGGAAGGGTCCTAGTATTTCAACTCTGTTAGTTTCTTCCGCATCCTAGAAGACATTTCGAAGACCACTTACAAAACAGTGTCGAAAGAAAGTTTCTTTCGTACTCGAAGAAAGAAGACTGACATAAGTTTCGAAAATTTTCGCTCATTTGGAAATTAAGTTTTTATCAAGTTTAACAGCAGTTCAATATCAGTGATTATTATCAATCAAGGTTTTAGCCGGTACCAAATATGCAAGAAAGCATTGGTAAGATTCCGCTGGCAAAAAGGTTCCTTTGATTAATCAGGGTTTTATATAACCCTGTTTCTCAACAAGTCAGCCGTGTCTTCTGAAACTGAGCGCAAACAGGAACAAAGAATTTCCTCTCCTTGCTGAACCATAAAAATCATAGAAAGAGTCGAGAAACTCCACTGATACTGATTATGGACAATGACTGAATAACGTCAGAAACTTTAGGAAGAAAAGTATCATGACTTTGTAATTTGAACTAGAGCTTTAGAAGTATAACAGTGTCATAGCTCAACGTTTAGAATCGCAGTGAGTCGAGAAGACTTATTGAAACTGACGGTGAGGGATGATGGGCAATATCTGTGCACTATCTGAAACATCGACGCAACAGAAAGTCGCTTAACTTATTCTGTTTTCAATAACCTGCTGATATTAAGCATCGACGGTTAACAAGAACTTATCTATCTCATTAAAAAAATTAAAATCAAAAAAATGAATCAAGGAGCTGACGCTAACAATGTTATGTGCTACAAGGCCATTTTAATGAGCTATTTCCACTAATTTCGTGATGCCATATGTCTTATGAAATTCACTGTTGATTTCTACACAATCTGACATTACTGTATAAGCGCCCGCACTACCGAAAGGTGTATAACACCATATATAACCTTGTCTATATTCAAGTTGGAAAAGAGAGCCTTGGTTTTAAACTGAAATTCATGAGTAGCTTATTAAAAGATAGTTTTAGAACCATTTATTACACAAACATAATAGATGAAATGAAGTGATTTAGAAAAGTGAGTGAAAAAATTCCTACACTAAACTATGCCGTTCACTCAATACTGACGAATAATAAACGGATAAAAAGAAAGGAAGATTGGATGATTCCATTCTTCCTTCACTTCATGACTGAATCATTTCGACGCTCTTTCCATCAAGATGATGTTGCGGTGCTGATCCCCGTTTCTATGCCATTAGTCGGGAATCCCAATTTTTTAAAGGCAGAGTCCATAGCCAAGTGGCAAAAGTAGTGTGCAGTGTGCTTTTTCCTTTCCAGAGTGACACTCATTTATAAGCCGCTTAACAATAACTAAATATACACTAGTACTATATAACAACAACTATATATACTGGCATACAATAGATGAGGCACAAAACAGGCTCTGACAAAAATCACAGCATCGCGAATAATCATGTAATCAAATAGGATTCCAGCAAATCTCTCCAAAAAAAAGAAATCTGAAAAACAAGATTCTGTGAGCTAGAGTTAAGGCAATCAGACATGAAAATGGACAGACAAGAAAACGTATGTATTAACTAGGCCGCGCAACGGCCGCTGCGTCAGAAAAGGCCTTACTCTGTCTTCATTGTCACCTGAAAGTAAACCCTGATGTTGCACCGAAAATACAAACCACTGTTATTTTCCT